ATAGAAATGTTATAAGGAACGGATATGAAATAAAAACAAGTGAAAAAGCGTTAAGTTCGGCCGGACCGAACTTTGGATACCCTCCACCATAATTATACTGGCAGGTACATGAAATGAACATACCAAAAAATGGACCTATACCGACATTTCTACAAACCGATTATGTAAACAATAATTTTTAATAGAAAATTATACCCTCAGCCTTATGACTAATTAGTGGGTATACACTTTCACACGGTGAAAATGTGCCTCATCAAAATATTGGTTCTAGACCCCATGTTTCTTGGGACCAAATCCGTTTCAGAAAAATTTGATTTCATCCCATCTTATTATGTCTTCCATACTTAGTTCAAGTCTGAATTTGGGGAATATCGGTCCATGCCTTCTGATACCTCCCACACAGGGGCTACGGCCAACCCTAAGTGCGGGCTATAGTTCACATATAATTCATTATCGAACCGTACGTTCTAGGTTTTTATCTCGATATCCTTCGCAGGTGAAATGATTACAACAGAGTGTAAGAACCAAACCCAAAACGCGGAAAAATCAGATAAGTATATTACTATAAAAAATGGGGTTATATGCGGACTACGCCTAAAAGGGGTTGACTATTAATAATTTTTGGTAGGGCTACAAAATACCAAATTTCAGTGATTTCGGTTGAAAAACGCGCTCAAGAACCCAAAAATACCGAAATTGGGGAGTACCCTTATATGTGAGCTACCAGAAAAAATTGACTTTTATTCATAACTTTTAGTGCAGATATTTGGAACCTATTAAGAACTCAAAGTACTAAATTACAGCCAATTTGGTGGAAAAATACGACCAAAACCCCCAAAATGCTGAAAATTAGGAGGTACCGTTATATGGGGGCTACCAGAAAAGTGGACAACCCTATACAAAATTTCAGCACCCTATCTAAATTCCTTCAGAAGATAGCGTGATTACAACAGACGGACGGACGGATGGACGGACAGATGGACGGACATGACTAGATCGTCTTAGAATTTCACCCTGATCCAGAATATATACTTTATAGGGTCGGAAATGCATATTTCGGTGAGTTACAAACGGAATGACAAAATTAATATACCCTCCATACTATGGTGGAGGGTATAAAAAAATAAAGCAGGAAGGAAATAACAAAACTCGCACAGGCCACCTCACGATACCATCTACAACATTGGGTATTTTCAGGGGAAGCTTCTAATATTCTTACAATGATAGATATAACGACTTAAACCAAGCATCTTCTATCCATCGGACATCTGGAGAATACCATTGACATAACATTAACATAAAATTGGAGGACCGACAGGCACAAAGCATTTCAAATACCTATTATATGTATATTTTCAAAAATAACTATGGGTCTGTAGAATCTTTCCATGCATATTCTTTCTACCCTCTAAATTGCAGACACGTTGGTTAGAAAAACTGCCTACGATTACATAAGGATTATAACAATGTTTTCGATATTATTATCCAAATTGCTATAAAATTATTTTTCAAAACTTTTTTAATTCTACAAATCCACTAAAAAATTTTAAATTAAGTCTTCAAAAAGCAATTATCTTACAACGTTTTATTTTTCTCTTTTTTTAATCGGACAACAACAAAAGCAACTTAAACTTATAGCTAATAAGAATTTCATGAAAAAAACGTTCATGTCACCATTGTTACAAAAATTTTACCACTCAACTTTTGATAGTCAGCGTATAACCTACTTGAAAACATGCTGCGGTTAATTCAGATTACTTTATGAATATTGATTCCACTATTTGGCAAAGACTTCTTGACAGTGCAGCTGGGTGTGTGTACGTTAGTGCGTTAGTGTGCCACAGAGAAAATGAAGATGAAAGAATGAAAAAAATGCCATGCGAAAAAAATATCTTCGCTAAAAATTGCTGTAAATCAATATTTGCCAAACCATTAGAAGTGCTCTCCGTTTTAACAGCGTCAATACTTTTCCACTTGACATCTCGGACAATGCAGCGAAAACAAAGGCATTAGCTGGCTATGAAGCTGGCCACTTTTTTTTGCGTTGCGAGTTTTGGTATTCAACTCTGGTAAACTGGAGGATTGTTGAATCAACTTAAGCTACGAGGATTTTCAAATAAAAAGAGAACAAAAATGATAAAAAAAAACATAAAACAACAAAGTTTATCAGAGTTGGTCATAAAGACACATTGTACTTAGTGTTGTGTAGAATTTAAATGAAATACAATAAAAACCGGTTATTTCGGGAAATTTCCTTAAATGATCAAAATATATAATTTGACAGTACAAATCATGGATGTGGTACGCGAAGAACGGCAACGGGATAGGTATCTTCCGAAATATTAAAAATCAGGCCATACATAACTTGGGTCTGTAACAACATGTAAGCAATATCAATATATTATATCAATATATTATATGAAATGAGGCAATATATTATATGAAATGAGGTGGGACATATATGGGAGGTAGAACATCAACTTTTTTATAGGTCCGGTATAGCTTTATGGAGCTACAATAATAATTTCTAAACATAGGAGTTATGGTTTGGCAATCCGGGTTCACAGACACAAATATCCATGCCATGATATCGCAAAAATATAAGTGGTGCTATTGTAACATAGGATAACTTCAACGGAAAATACCAAGTATTCTGCTGTGTTGAATACTAATTTGAGCAAAAATTCAGAACCAGAAATTTTGGCATATTATCGGGTTTTTGCATGCCCTATAGATACTCCGACGAAGTCGAAAGCGTTAAGTTTGTTCTTTTCCGAAGTAATTAAACTTCGACCAAAAAAAGAAGTGAAATTGCTCTGAATATGAGCAATTAGCAAGATTTATATTATAGTCCTGTCAAGCGTATATGCGTAGAAACAAATATTGGCTCTGAAATCCTGGAACACAACACAAAATAGTGCCGCAGTAAACCGAACCAAAGAGGTCCAACATAGAAACGACGCTACACTTGTATTGAGAAGATTGAAACTAAATCAAAGAAGTAAAACTTTAGTCGAACCTTTAATACCCTCTACTATTGGGTGGCTAATGAGGATTTAAATATCTGCAAGAAGGATGTGAGCTTCGGAAATACCAACTTGAAGACACTCAGTTTGAAATGTAAGGACTATCAAAATATTTCAAATTGGAGAGACTCATATTACTCATCTAAGGAAATTAAAATCGCCGTTGAAAAGGCTTCAAACTAGCCGATTTAGGTCTTTCTAATAGCTGGCTTGCTTGCAATATGGGGTTGTAATTGAGTAACATACTTCCTTGCAAAATTTGTTCATTATAGACTCACATTTTTACATTGTTTCTATTTAAAATTTGGCTATGATCTTGTGGTCGACCTCCTCAATATTTTGTTAATTATATGGGACCTCGTTTTGACATTTCCCATATGAACGGTACATTCTGTAACATATTTTGATACTTCTTTGTTACTTGTATATAAAATATAAAAATGCGTAACGGAGTTGTTTTTTCGAATTTTCCAAATGGTTTTAAAAGTTTGGCTTTACAGAAACGGAAACATAACGATGTTTCTTTCAGTTATCCGATGTTTTCACTTAAGCGGACTTCTCACAAGCGAATTTTTTTCTTGTTTCAAGAATTTCAATAATTAATTTTTTATATCGAATTCGTAGGTTTCGAATTTTATGAAACTAGACGATAGATATTTTTCAGTTAAGCGACTTACAGTAAAGAGAAATCGACTGTACTCTCTACCATAAGGTGGGCCTCCAAAGCAAAAAATTTGGTCAATTTGGATTTAAATGTCAGCAAAAGCGATGTTAGCCTCGGAAATACCAACATGAAGACTTTTAATTTGGGAGTTGTAGATCTTCAAAATATTTAACGTGGGCGGGACTTTATAAGGGAAGTCTAAAAGGACTTCTAGCACTTTTAGATTTTAGATATTTTGATATTTTGAAAAATTCGGGCCGAACTTAATACAGTTTTTACTTGTTTTATATTTTAGATTGTCATTAGGTAGAGAATCCCGCCACTTTTCAGCCGAATATGCCTCAATTGTATATTTTGGATTTCCAATCTTCCTATAAAAATTATGATTTTTGGCTTGTTGTTATAGCTCTCAAACAACGGTGCCGCCAATTTTCGGTATTTGGAAGATTACCAATTGGATGGCTCAAAAACTTCTTGGCAGAACATTTCCAATATAAGTCTATGCCCCCAATACATAGGGCGACATGTTCCTTAAATTTAAGGTGCTAGCCTTATATTACGAATTGAGTGTGTCTTGATTTGTATTTCGTTTTCTTCCCGAGAGTTTGTGGGTGCTTTTTTATCCATAACATATAGAGAATATAAAAATTCAATGGGACCGAAATTATGGAATTTTTTATTTGTTTTCATTAAATAGGTCGATTTACTTTGTTTTACAATAGAAAATTTTCACCCAATATCTTCATTCCCTGAATTTCATCTGGTAAAATCGACATGTTGATTCGGATAGATGGATAGAGAATCTAATGTTAAATTTTTTGAAAAAAAAAACTTAAACTATATATATTAAATAAATTTTTCGGTAAACGGGTTTCTCGCTTTTAACATCACTAACTGTTTGTGTTGGCGCTCCTTCCAATGTGCTTAGTCACTGTCACTGGTTGTTTGGCGGAACTTTATTAATTCAACATTTGCTGCAATGTGACTCACTTGAACAATGACAACAGTCATTACACACACACACACCGAGAGAGAAAGACGTATACAAATGTAGTAAAACTGTGTGTGTGGGGGCTTCGATAGTTTTCTCGTTGCTGCACAAACTTTTACACAAACACACACACCCATACACAATGACAGAAAATAGTTTACGCTAAGAAGAAGAAGAAGCAGAAATATTCTTATTCATCTTGCATTACATTTTATTAATATCACTCCATTGTTATTCCCATTGTTGTTGTTACTGCTGTTATTGTTTTGTTCATTTCTTATCACAACCCTCTTCTTCTTCTCTTACCCGCTCTTTACAGATACAACATTTCTTGGACAGTGGAATCTCATGCACCCATTGAAGAGTACAAATTATCCTTCCGAAGGTTGCAACAAGGACAAGAGGTCGATAACTCCATTGATTCGCATGGCTCCTCTTCATCGTCCTCATCGTCGTCGTCATTGCAAATGTACGGTGGCGGAATTATTGGTAGCAGTGACAGCATACACAATTACCGTTTGGGTGGCATTAGCGGCAGCAGCAGTTTGGGCAGTATGGGCGGCGGCGGCATGGGCATTGGCGGTGGTTATGGCAGCTACGGTGCCGGCAATGTAATACATTGGGGTCGCAATGATTGGCGTGATGTCGTCCTGCCCGCCATACCCATATCACATCACTACACCCAAGGGATGAGCTATATGATACGCGGTTTAGATCCAGATCAACATTACGAAGCTACAGTTCAAGCGAGGTAAATACCAGTTGTAAACTCCATGTTCAAGTATTTATATAAATTCTCAAAGTTTACGGATGTTCAGTGCCCTCTAATGTTTTCCTTCGTGGCATGTCATGCCGTGGCATTGCATAGCGTGCTGTGTGGTGTTGTGCAGCACAGCACAGTAAATGACGTTGCTTTTTTTGTGTTTGTTGCTCGCGCGTTCATTGCCATTAAGGGGATCCGTTCTGATTGTTTCATCGACATGCTGGTAGCTCCGTTTATTTTCAGTTTGGTTTTGGTTTGCTATTATTTTTCCTCCCCATTTAGAAGTTAAAAGTTTTTAAATCTTTCACATAGTTCTCCAATGCGATAACATGTTAAGAACCCTAAGCAGAGAGAGAGAGAGAGAGGGGGGAGAGAGAGTGGTGTGGTGTCAAAAGACTAGCCAATCCCACTCACCACATTGTACATTAGCGGCTAACTTAGCATTAAAGCAGTGTTCGAAGGTGGCAAATTGCATGATCAAATTTTGCTTTATTAGTAAAGTTTTCTTGAAAGTTGCAAGACGTAAAAATCAAATTCAAAAAAAAAAAAAGGAATAGAAATGCAATAAATTGAAGATGTTTTGAGGGGAAATTTTGTTGCAATTTTTTATGGAATTGAAATGTTATAATGTCTAAATTGATATGTTCGATTGATAGATTTGTGAAACAAAACACAGAACAAAGAGCGAAACCACAATTTCAAAACCTCGAGCCTAAAGCCTTGACACGTTGAAGATGTCGATGTGGTGTGAATATTGTAAAGGCTGGGTGGGTGTGTTACCCATTGTGGGTTTGTCTTTCACCCAAGAGCAAAGTGTGTCTTTGTTCATTATCTCTGATTGGCATATAACTTCGATGATGGGCGTTAATCTCTCTGTGGTACAGTCTTTTCTTTCCCGTCACCAAAACTGTACGATTGCAGACACTAAGCTTGGCTTGAGAAAATAAATTTTGTTATTAAAAGTTTGTTTAGGGAACCTGTCTTTAAATACTATATCTATAATACTAACGAGCACACTAATATTTCCATATATACTTTATTTCAGAAATCGTTATGGCTGGAGTGAATATTCCCAAAGTTTTGTATTTTCAACGTCATCAAATGGTAAGTGTTTCTCTGGTAATTAATTGTGTAACTAATATTATTCCATCAGCAAAGAAAATCAACTGACTAAATCATCAATCTGACATTCCCTTTTTGTTTTGCGCTTGTAATTTGTTTTCCTTTCCCTTTACTAACCAAAGGAGATACGCAAACACAAAAGTCCATCTCGCCACACTCTCCTCTCCCCTTCAGTTTTCTTTCGCCACTCACTCACTTGCTCACTCTCACACACACCCAATAAAATTCTATTCAATTTAGTTATTTTATTTATTGCCTCTTCATTGCTAAATAATTAAAAGTAATAAACAACAAAGCAAACAATAAGCCACTAACTTATTATCCTTTCATAAAACGGATTCCAACAAGCAACAAAAATAACAAAAAACAATAATTAAGTTTATCGATATTGCATGCAAACTAATGATAAATAAAAGCTAATATAATGAAAAACGTTTAGTGGCCATGGGTGGATGGTTGCTTTGTGTTAGGATGGATGGATGGTGTTATGGGGTAAACGGTTTTTCCATTGGCGGTATCTCTTACCTCAACACATAACGAGCTCCCTTACCAAAGCAATTTTCATTTGTTAGCATTCTAACACCAACAATTTGTTATCATTGTTGGCTATCTTAAAGTTAAGTCCAGAGCAATTAAATTCCAGGAGAAAATAAACAAATTAAATATTTCAAAGAACTTTTATGGCCGTGGAAAAAAATTTTAAAGTTAATTTTGTTTTTAATAAAAATATTTTTAATGAAAATTAAAATAATGAAGTTTTGAAACATAATTAAATTTCTGGGAAAATGTTCATTAAAAAATTTTCTATGAATTATAAAATTTATAGAATTTGGATTATGATGTAGTAAACAAATTACAAAAAAAAAAAACAAGTGAAAAACGTTAAGTTCGATACCAAACTTTGGATACCCTCCTCCATAGTAGATATACTGACAGGTACAACGTTTGGATTTCATCCAAACGATCTAAAGAACCCCAAAATACCGAACCTATTGTAAAAAAAATTGTGCAGAAACTTAGTACCCAATAAGAACCCAATGTACCAAATTTCAGGGAATGCGGTTGAAAAACCGAATATTGGGGGGTATCCTTATATGGGAGCTATGCCTAAACGTGTACCGATATATCCCATCTTAGAACTTGACAATAGACAACCCTATGCACAATTTCAACACCCTATCTCAATTCCTTCAGAAGGCAGCGTGAATACAAAAGACGGACAAACATGGCTAAATCGTCTTAGAATTTTTCCCTGATCAAGAATATATATACAAATATGAATATTCGATGATCAAATTCCATAATTCGGCAACTTTTCCCGACCTCTAGGAATAGAATGAAGATTTTATAATTTATCTCTTTTCCCCAAAACTATTGGTGTAAAATTAGTATGTATATTAAATGCTGATGGTGGAAGACAATAATAATTGACACGAAATTTTGCACTACGCACCAAATTGAGCCGATAATGATGTGTAAATCTTTTCAGATTTAGGTAAAGTTCTCATATATATTTTATTTATTGTATATGGTGAAATAAACTCATAACTCGTACCGAATTAAAATCCCATAGAGTTGTCCGTTGTAAAATCCCATAGAGTTGTCATAGAGTGTACCACACTATGGTACAGGGTATTATGTCTTTGTTCATATGTTTGTAACAGGCAAAAGGAAACCAGATAGACCCATAGTTCCGTTCGTCCATCTTTTATTAATCTCTCGATTTGCACGAAATTTGGCACAACGTACTAAACTGAGCCTAGAATGATGTCGTCCAAGTTTCGTGAAAATCAGTCCAGATTTAGATATAGCTCCCATATACAGTTTCGTCCGATTTAATGTAAGTGGTACACCAAAGTCCCTATATATTTTTCGATTTACATGAAATTGGGTATAGCGTACCGAATTGAGTCTAGATGGATGCGTGTTAAGTTTCATTAAAATCGATTTAGATATAGATATATCTCCCATATATATTTTCGTCTGATTTTACGTTCACCGAGGAGTCTGCGTCAGTTCCACATACACGAGATAAAATTGTGGACGGTGTTTTGTGCTGCAACATACCAAGTATGCCTCCTTTGCTCAATTAGGTCCCAATCTACATACATACAAATTTTTGCCCGGATTTATAGAAATGGTACACCAAAGAATCCAAGTCTCCACGATTATGTCTATGGGGTTTTGTAATAGGTACAAATATCTATGTAAATCACATATTTAACATCGCCCGATTCCATTTCCAAGGTCCTCTAAGGATGATATTTCTGTTCTATCTACAGGATATTGTATATATTAGCGTCTCTTGTATGTATTCATAGTGGTGAAGGGTATCATATAGTCGGCCCCATCCGAAGACGTTATGCAACATTTTTTAACCTTGCCATTTTACTTGTTTTAGTTTTGCCCACCAGTGTATTTTTGTTTGACTTCATATACATTTTCAACTTGTGCTACTTGTTTCCGTTCCACTAAAAACACATTTATTTTTTACCTTCCACCATACGTTAGAGGGTACAATAATTTTTTTCGGTAGGTTTGTAACTCATCGAAATACTATTTAGCGTATAATTATATATCTGTATAAGAAAAGCACATCAAAAAAAAAAAAATTAAAATCGACTTAGCAAAGTCCGTTACTATGCCTGACTGTTTTAATTACGCAAACATCCGATTAAATCGAGATACAATGCTAACATTTTATACAGATCCGTATTTTGATTACAGGCAATCCACGTTCGAAGACGAACAATATTGGTATTCATTTTGTTGTAACCTACATATAACAATATGAGATTTTGGTCTGCTTTTGTCTACATATATAATGGTACTTTATTTTAAGGATTTTTGATACGTTTTTAACCGAATTGGTAATGTGATATTTTGAGTTTCCTATCCGTAGAAATTCCCATCATAATTGTACTGGCGTTTATTGTGTCTCTCTCACTTCGTATGTGGGCACAACAATTTCGAAGATAGATTATATCGATCCACGTTTAGGCATAGATGCCATACCTCCGAATTTCGTCACGTGTCTACCTCCTTAAAAAGTATCTATATCTATCCAGAATTGGTCGAGAAATTACTTGTTTACAATGCCGTTTAGGCTGATTTTTGAGTTTTAGTCTATTCTGAGACTTATAGTAAAACTTTATGGCGAAAATTTCTGTAGAATATTCTGAGCAGTTTTAACCCCGTTTTGAATGAGTTTTCAATCACTCCTGGAAAAGGGGACCGAAAAGAACCCTTTAACGACCCGGTAATTATCAAAAAAATTCAAATTTGTCGCACAGTGTTATTAACTATCGACAATTCCTGTGTGTACATTTCTGCGAAATGTATATTAATAACTAATTCCAAATACAATTTGTGTAGCTTTTGCTACCAGCACATCGATGCGGTGGCCTTTAATTGAAAAGTTATAATGATGGTTATTTTGTTTTGGTTACATTGGTTATTTAATTAACATGTTTGGTGATTGCCCGACTGGCCTTCCACTTTTAGTTTTGCCACTGGCATTGGCATTGCCACTGAAGCGTATGATTAATACGAAATTAACTATTATGGCGTATACGCCACATGTGTTTTCATAAACACACACGCGCGTGCACCAGGTTTTTGTAATGGTCATTACAATATTAAAACCACGAAACGAAAAATAAACACGCCGAACGCATAATTTATGACAAAATAATGAGTTTTCTTCAACAGTACATAATTCATTCATTATTCAATGAAGAGAACAATGAACTAAGGTGTGTGTGTTTTTTTCTCATTCATTATGTAGACATATGAAGTTTGGACACTCTATTGAAATGAAATATATTTTCTAGATTAATGTTAATGAATATTAATTACTATTTATGTTGAGTAGAAGCTATGCGATTTGGTGAAAATAATTTAGCATGGTTTAATATTATGATTTAATTTGAGAACTTTGCCATTAAAACTTAACCACATGAGCATCTATGGTACTGAAATATTTTGAGTGTTATGCCCAGAGATGGCCTGTCAGAAACAGTGGCGTAAATGACATACATTTCCTACGTATAATACATACGTCAGAAACGTCGGAAACCTACCCAAATCTATTAGGTTTTTGACAAAATAGCTATTTCCATTAATCAATTTGGAAATTATGCATGCTTTACTCAAATCCATATAAAATTTCAAAATTTTCTTCTCGAAAAAATTTAAAAATTTTTATCAGTTCTAGTAAGGAATGGTCAGATATATGTAAAAATAATATATATTCTTGAAAATAACTGTGTATGCTGATAATATTGATATAAATGACGTTTACTACGTTTATTACATTTTATACAGGTATATGACGTTTTCGACGTTTACACCTTTTTGACAGTCGAAAACCTAAAAATTCGTCACACGGACCATCCCTGGTTATGCCCATACAAATTTTGACTTAAGGGGACCCTCCCCCATTCTCGGGGTCAAGAAATTTTTTGATTTAATTCGAATCTACACTAATCCAAGAATGTCCCTACAAAATTTAAAGTGAAAATCTCAAGAACTCTTGAAGATATAGCCGATTTATTGCGTAAGCATCAAGTGACGGCTAAAGGGCTTCTCAAACTTTAAGGGGACCCCCCCCCATTCTCGGGGTCAAAATTTTTGTTGCTATAATTCGAATCTACACTGATTAAAGAATGTCTCTACAAAATTTCAAGTGAAAATCTCAAGAACTCTTGAAGATATAGCCGATTTATTGTGTCAGCATCAAGTGACGGCTGAAGGGCTTCTCACACTTTAAACGCGTTTTTCTCTAAACATTTTTTTCGAATGGCGGGCACGATAACTCAAAAACTAATAATCCAATCGGTTCCAAATTTTGCAACGTTTCTCTGGGAGTGTATAACTCTCGTATGAACTAGGATAAAGCCAATCGGTGAAGATCTTCCTTATTTTTTAACTTGGTTTTTGGTAAAAAATCGGCGATTTTCCAAAAATATTTTTTCAAAGGT